AGCTTATAGGTCTGTAGAGGTACATACTACCTCTACAGACCTATAAGCTTATGTCCATAGTTCACTAAACACCATTTAGCTGCCTTCCATAGAAAATGCAGGGTATATAACAAAACCAGTCCAATACAATAGTAGAGCGGTCTAGAGATTAATTTGGCGAAACCGCTGAGAGGGTTCACTACTGATGAGCCAAGCCCTCTCTTTCATTAAATCATATCATTGCAGTAAGGTCTGTAGAGATTTAAAAAAAGAAACGCATTGCCAGTAAATTTATTTGTGTAAAATTTTAACGATAGAGGGCAATAAAATTTAATTTACTAATATATAATGGTTATGAAAACATGTTTTGCGCGGAAGAGCTTTGCTCGATGCAATACCTTGAAATTTATATGTATGTACCTCTACAGACCTATAAGCTTATGTCCATAGTTCACTAAACACCATTTAGCTGCCTTCCATAGAAAATGCAGGGTATATAACAAAACCAGTCCAATACAATAGTAGAGCGGTCTAGAGATTAATTTGGCGAAACCGCTGAGAGGGTTCACTACTGATGAGCCAAGCCCTCTCATTCATTAAATCATATCATTGTAGTAAGGTCTGTAGAGATTTAAAAAAAGAAACGCATTGCCAGTAAATTTATTTGTGTAAAATTTTAACGATAGAGGGCAATAAAATTTAATTTACTAATATATAATGGTTATGAAAACATGTTTTGCGCGGAAGAGCTTTGCTCGATGCAATACCTTGAAATTTATATGTATGTACCTCTACAGACCTATAAGCTTATGTCCATAGTTCACTAAACACCATTTAGCTGCCTTCCATAGAAAATGCAGGGTATATAACAAAACCAGTCCAATACAATAGTAGAGCGGTCTAGAGATTAATTTGGCGAAACCGCTGAGAGGGTTCACTACTGATGAGCCAAGCCCTCTCATTCATTAAATCATATCATTGCAGTAAGGTCTGTAGAGATTTAAAAAAAGAAACGCATTGCCAGTAAATTTATTTGTGTAAAATTTTAACGATAGAGGGCAATAAAATTTAATTTACTAAAATACCTCCGTATCTCCTATTATCGGGCGAATAGGAGGACAACGTTCAAGCTTCAATAATAAAACTACTACAGTCTTTTCTTAATAATAGAAGAGTGAGATTTTGATACTCATCAAATGAAACCCACAAATAATTAGGCAAGGGATGTCCACAGGGTGGGCCTATATCCCCTACAATATGGAATATTATTCTAAACGATTTATTGAATAACTATTCAGAATCAAACAGTGAAATCATTGCTTATGCGGATGATTTAACTGTGATATGTTGGGGAAACAACTTGACAGAACTTCGGAACAATAAAAGTTCAAGAAACAAATACGTCAGGGAAATAAATAAGCTGAAAGAATGTCTTGGAGGTTTTTCTTAGAGGACATCAAATCAAAAAACCCATATGGAAATTTATACAGGGTATACAAAAATATTAAAAACGGTTCTAACCGAAAGGGCATTTTGAAAATCTTAGAAGTGAATAAAGATGAAGAACGATTCCAGAAGACAGTAGAACTTTTGAACAACCTTTTCCCCGATGATAGAGATAATGAAGACACAACCTTCCACAAAAACATAAGGAACTATACTTTAGGATTTCATAATAAAGAAAATATAATAATAACGCCCAATGAAGTAAATGGAATAATTGATGAGCTAAACTCAAAGAAAACGCCTGGAATTGATAATATTTCTAACAATATGATAAAACATACTAAACAACTAATAGTTCCAATACTGGTGAAACTTTTTCAAAAATGCTTAGATTTAAATTATTATCCGAATGAATGGAAAAAATCTGAGGTAATAATTATTCCCAAACCAGGTAAAACAGACATGAAAATTTATAAAAGCTATAGACCCATTTGTCTCAACTCAAACATTTCCAAAATATTTGAAAAAATAATTAACAACAAACTAATAAAATTTTATGAAGACTCAAATCTGCTTAACAATCGTCAACATGGATTTAGAAGATCAAGATCTACTATCTCTGCATTAAATGAAATTGTCAAAATAGCTCTAGAACATAAAAACAAAGAATATACAGCTATAATCGCAGTTGATATAAGTGGAGCGTTCGACAATGCATGGTGGCCGATGGTGCTGAAAAGACTAGAGGAGGACAACGTTCAAGCTTCAATAATAAAACTACTACAGTCTTTTCTTAATAATAGAAGAGTGAGATTTTGATACTCATCAAATGAAACCCACAAATAATTAGGCAAGGGATGTCCACAGGGTGGGCCTATATCCCCTACAATATGGAATATTATTCTAAACGATTTATTGAATAACTATTCAGAATCAAACAGTGAAATCATTGCTTATGCGGATGATTTAACTGTGATATGTTGGGGAAACAACTTGACAGAACTTCGGAATACAACAGGAAAGGTCATGGGAAAAATATTAGACTGGTGTGGGAACAATAAGTTGACCGTATCTGAAGAGAAAACGAAAATCTTATACTTGTTTAATAGCAAAATAGCTGCAAAAATTCCTAACACTATCACTGCCAATCGGGTAGAAAAACTGAAGATTATGGGAATAACTTTTTAAAATCATAGAAATAAAAACAAATTGGATTTTGTGCCCCATATTGATGAGATTATTACTAAGACAAATAGAGCTAGTGGATACCTAATTGGATTAACCGGAAAAGCATGGGGACTGGACAGTAAAAGAAGAATAGAACTCTATAAGACACTGTTTCGAAGTTCACTAACTTATGGTTCCACGATCTGGTACAACTTTATACCCAAAAAAGTCAAAGATAAATTAAACTCTCTGCAGTACAAAATTTTGAAGCACAGTACACAGGTTTATAATTCAACATCTTCAAACTGTACTCATATTGTTGCTAGAACACCAAAGCTCACGGATTTTATTGAAACAAATATACTAAAAATGAATATTGGATACAAAAAATCAGATCCAACTAAAAGAAAAATGATATCTAATTTTATAAACCAGAAATTTGAGGGAAACTATGGAGGTGCCAATGATAATTTCAAGGGATTCTTTGATACTTCAAGAATTCCTAACTATGTTCAACCCAACTTCTATAACGTTCAATTTTTTACTGGGGACATGGTGACTTCAACACATATTTGTTTAGAATTGGCAAAATTGGTTCACCTGCATGCACTTGTGGAAACGAACAACAAACCCCTGAACACCTTCTGATAAACTGTCCTTTAACTTCTGATCTAAGGGAAGAAAACCAACTTTACCTGACTAATACAAAACAAGCTGCTTGCAATAAAGACCAATACATCAAGTTTAATAGATTCTGCAGGATGTATATTTTGAGGCGAAAGCGTTGACTGTACATATTTCAAGCTAATACTTATAATTGCTATATGTAAAATTTGACATTGAACGTTTAATTTTAATGATTTCCAATGTTCAATTGTATTAATTGTATATAATTTAAAATATACACGCAATTATCCAAATTGTGGATATGGCGTGTCTCTCCCAACTGTTAAATAAATAAATAAATAAAGCTTAAAGTCTTTCTCTTTTCAACTTCAAGAAATTTATATTAAATATTTGAAATAGATAAAAATTAAATTATGTAAAAAGTATTTATAATAAAGTAAATATATGCGGCATATATATCTTTCACATGAGAGGCTGGAACTTAAATATCACAGGGTATATATTAAATATTTATAAAATAATTATATTTTATAGGGAGCGTTTCCAATCTAATGTTTCCAAGACGCAGAGAAAAGAATATTCATAGAATATTCAAGGGTTGCCGAACTAAGACAGAAACAGAAGATGGACTCCAAGAAACGCCCGACCAGGAAGATCTACAAAACTGTTTTCGGCCCTTTCAAAATAAGATGCTTAAAAAACAAAAGTCGGCCTAAAAAATCTCAGTGGAAAAAGTTTCAGCAAAAAAAGAAAGGTCAGCGTTCAAATTGAAAAATCTATATCTTCTTCAATTAAATATTCTATGATAAATTTAAATATGATTATTGATTATTGATATTGATGAAAACTGCCTGTCGAATGTTCTGTGGAAAGATGAATCTCACCTTTCTCTAAACGGAGATGTTAACACTCAAAACAGCCGTATTTGGGCAACAGAAAACTTTAGGAATTTTACAGAAATGCCACTTCATCAGCCCAGAGTTACAGTTTGGTGTGGTTTCACTTCTTCTTTTATTATTGGGCCATTTTTCTTTGAAGAAATCAACGGAATAACTTTTAAAAGCGTTTCTGTAACTGGTGAACGTTATGTTCAACTTTTGAGAGAAAAGGTTATTCGCATATTGCAGGACAGACAAGCACTAAGCGAAATAACATTTATGCAAGATGGAGGACCTCTTCATATCTCCCGTGGTGCCAAACAATTGCTGAAGGATACGTTCGGTGAAGATCGTGTGATAAGTCGCCAGTTTTTACACCAGTGGCCTCCAAGATCACCAGACTTGACGCCTTTCGATTTTTGGCTATGGGGGTATATTAAGTCGCGTGTTTATCGATGCCGATCATCACATTGGTAAATGCAAATTTAAACATGTAGCAAAATATATATATTTAGATGCGGTTTGCTGGAATCCTCTCAGCGATTTGATTTCCGAAGATAATAAATTTCTATTTTTTTAATTCAACTCTCTCTCAGTATCGATTGTATTTATTTTTTTACATTTGAAAAGTATTCATCTCTTAGGCTTCTATCAGACGGCACGTTTCATCAATTTCAACAGATATGTTATTTAATGCTGTCCAATGGCGTCTGCAGGCGGTGTTTGAGAATGAAGGGCGCCACATTGAGCAAGGATTGTGACCTAATATAAGAGAGAAGACAGTTACTGTATGGTATTTAAACTGCAATCTTATATACAAGTATCAGAGTCATCAACAATCAATTCTGTCATCGTTTGCTTTTGTGAATGGAATAAATACCCAAATATGGCCATTTCTTATAAGCATAGGTGGTTCAGTGGTAGAATGCTCGCCTGCCACGCGGGCGGTTCGATTCCCGGCCGATGCATTTTTTAATTTTTTTTTTTTTACAGTTTTTAAAACTCATTTATATTATTAAAATATACAAGTATCAGAGTCATCAATTCTGTCATCGTTTGCTTTTGTGAATGTATGTAAATAATTGATTTCATAATTTTTAATAATTAATTTTTGTTCTGGCCTTTATTTGTTTAAATCTTTTTTTAAAAATCGTTTAAAATGCAGTCGCAATCATTAGCGAACACATATGTTTGCCTAATATTTCCATATTCTCCTTTATTTTTTACAGAAAAATATTTACATGCCAGTATTTTGGATTAATTTTTTTTATAAACCTTTTTTTTTTTATTCTTACTGAGAAGATAGGCATCGCGCGCAGTCAGGATTCTTTACAGTGAGTCATTCAACTCAGGCAATTTCAAAGGTTAATGGGGGTTTGGTGGAAAAGCTGCCGTCTATTTAAACTATATTAATTTTGAAACAACTAAATGGATTGCAAAAAATAATTAAATCAAATACCTAAACACTAATATAATACAATTTTTGCCATTACACACTTTTTTTCCTGTAGTTTATGTGTTTCTTCTGTATTGCTATTCTATGGCACTTCTACTATTTATTATTGATGTACTTTCAGTATGAAGGATACTTCACTCGGGGGATTTCTCGGGCGAAGCCGGGTCATTCTTCTAGTGTATTATATTATCCAAAAATATTTTTCAACTTTTTGTGTTGGGCTATATGGATAATAAATGCTGTCCTCACATCTTGACTCTTTTTTTTTTTTTGCCATTTGCTCACATCTTATGTCGTGCAGACCAAAGTGTTTATAACTTCTCGAATAACACTGGTACACACAATTTACCCCTTATGTTTAGTTTATCGTTTTCGCTCATTAGAAGAAATGGCATAAGGAATATTCTCTGTTCACCCCTTACTTTAGAAATTTTGGGCAAAAATTATAAAACAAAATGATTTTACTACCACGTTATTCAACGCAAAAGGTCGATTTAAAAATGTTTTTATTTGAGGGGATATATTTTTAAAATTGTGTACAGTATAATAAACAATGATAACATTTGACAAGCCCATAGGATATTTGGAATAAAGTACAGCAAATAGACTTTGTCGCCCTTCTCTTTATTTAATTTGTTGGATCATGACAAATTTTCAGTTAAATAGTCAAGTGTCGCCAATATGTCAAGACACTATACATTTCTTATAGTAAGAAATACTTTTAGTAGTGCCATCATAATTTTTGGTACTATATTAACATTTCAAAAAAATCGTGTATTGATATCAGCAGTTGTTTTAAAACATTCAATCTATTTCACAAAACCGCATCTAAAAAAAAATATATATATATTTTTGCTAAATGTTTTAATTTGCATTTACATATTTTACATATCTCGGATTGCATTTAAAAACCGTCATCCAATTTTTCTACTTTTAGCGAAAAGGTGTTTAATTAAGTTATCATTTGATATTATAAGGGTTCTTACATTGTATTCAAAAAGGAGAAATACGTGTCGATCAGTTATATTTTTCAATTTATCAAACAATATGGTGCTGAATATCTGATTCTGGTAGAGCTCAATCTAGCGAATAAAATTTTAACTAAAAATCCATTTCGAATTTTTCATTATTTGCCCTAAAATATCCCATTGCTTCCTGAACATAATGGTGTTTAACGCATTGCTCTAGCGCAAATATTCGTGGAGTTATTAATTTTTAAAATTGTGCAAGACTTTTGGATCACCCTTTATCTTTTCATATTTTCAGCTACTTACATGAAAATTTTTTAATTTGTATATTAAGTATTTTTGTTGGAGAAGAGTAACCAAAACATCTATTTATCTTTACAAGAATAGATTCAGTTTGTGTGGATGTTTGCTACGGAAATAATTTTGTATCAAATATTCATTAGAAAAACTTTCACTTGGTTAAAAACTGGGCAAATCCGGATATATTCTAGTAAACAATAAATATAAATAAAAATTGATTTAAAAGTATTAAAAAATAATGAAAATAATTTAGGAACACAAATGTTCAACACATTTCTGACAAGCCACATTTCTAATTATGGTTTTGTGTCTTCTACGGAGGCAAAGCTTTCCAAAAATAACCTGCAATGTTTTCTTCCATATTCTGGTTTTAGATGGATGTTTCTTGAAATTTTAACATAAAAATTTTATTATGGATTAGATATATGTCATAATTTGTACATAGTTAGATGCCAACCCAATCCAATATGTATGAAAATGTATGATTTGAATTTCAATAAAGAACAAGGTTTAACATTGGAGGAAAGAAGGCCTAGAGAAAGATGATCATTACCAGTTTTAATTATCCCGGAACTCGTAAAAGTTCGAGTTCAACGACACAGTATTTCCTGGTCAAGCTGAAACATGTCCAAAGACAAAGGCGTAAAGTAGACCAATCAGGGAGTAACTCATTAGTGGAGGACCTATAGGGAACCTCCACGTCACACAGGTCAACCAATGAGAAGAAGAAAAGAGTTTTCGTTTTAAATCGAGAACAGAGAATTGTAAGTAGTTAGCTAGCTCCCACCGAGGTAACACCTACTCTAGAGATCCCTCCCCGCTCATCCTTTCAGCTAAGTCAATATTACCGCAATGTGAATAGATAGTCAATAGCCAAACCGCTCCACCTTCTCAAAGCCTTTCTTTCCTCCGATCAGTTGCCTTTATTTCAACAATCAATCGTGTACTCACGAATACTTTTCCCTGTTGTGTAACCTTAGCACTCAGCACCACGACTGCGCCACCACCTCAACAATTATCAATCACTTCAAAGAGTAATATTCACCGCATAATATTACATATATCTATATAGATAATAGGCTAACAGCGTTCACAGTTGTAAAGTTTGAAGCTATCTCCTCCAAAGATACTTAACTATAAATAGCCATCTATATACCAAAATTTTCGTTATTTTTTGCTTCACATGATCAGCAGTGTAGAATGTGATAATGAGGAGGAGCAAAATAACTACTTCTTTTTTTTTTTACATTTTGAATATATGTCATAATTTGTACATAGCGTGATGCCAACCCAATCCAATATGTATGAAAATGTATGCTTTGAATCAATAAAGGACAAGGCTTAACAAAATCTGTGGAGGAAAGAAGGCCTAGAGAGAGCACAATCATTAGTAATTTTATTATCCCGGAACTCGTAAAAGTTCGAGTTCAACAAACTGTCACTTCCGGGACAGGTCAGAACACGTCCAAATACAAAGAGTTAAAACGAACCAATCAGAGAGCAGCTATTATAGCTAGGAACCTATAGGGAACTTCCACGTCACACAGGTCAACCAATGAGAAGGAAGAAGTGTTTTCGTTTTAAATCGAGAACGGCGAATTGACAGTAGTAGTTAGCTCGATCCCACCGAGTTCGGACCTACAGTGGTTAGCTCGATCCCACCGAGTTCGGACCTACAGTAGTTAGCTCGATCCCACCGAGTTCGGACCTACAGTAGTTAGCTCGATCCCACCGAGTTCGGACCTGGAGTAGTCAGCTAGCTCCCACCGAGGTAACACCTACAGTTATCGCTTGGACACCACCGAGTTATCACAGATAAGTCAAATATTTCATCATGTAACTGAATAGCCAATAGACAAACCGCTCCACCTTCTCAAAGCCCTTCTTTCCTCCGATCAGTTGCCTTTATTTCAATCTTCAATCGTGTACTCTCGACTACTTTCCCCTGTTGTGTACACCTTAGCACTCAGCACCACGACTGCGCCACCACCTCAACAATTATCAATCACTTCAAAGAGTAATATTCACAGCGTAATATTACAGTGAGTCGACAGGATTTTGCTATGGAAAGTAGCCAAGATACGACCAACGTCAAAGGTGACAACGACAAAGAGACGAACGGAAAGGACAAGAAGCTGGCGAAGAGCGAAGCGACAAGACGCACTCTGGCGACCATTATATGGCAGTTGACGATTGCCCTCCAAGGAGTGAGGTCCACCCAACTAGAGACGGCGTTCCGGAGCTCCACCCCCGGGAGAGATGACGCACGCGCCACCGCCGCCCCAGGCAAGATGGACGGGCTTACCGCCGACAAGTGTCACAGCGGCCTGACACCGACCACCGAGGAGTCATCCACCGCCATGCCGTATCCATACACCAGTACCCGAAAACAAACTCGATACTCAAACAAAAGGACAGTGCAAATGGTCCGAAATCAATCCATTCGAGTAAGGGCAGTGCAAACGTCCAGAATTCACCATCCGATTTCGCGGACAGTGCAGGAGGTCCCGATCCAGCAAGTCAGACATCCCGAGCAGCCGCCCCAAGACAGAGACACACCCGCTGGGCAGACTTTTCGAGACGGAGTCCAGAACTGAGGTAGGATCTCCACCCAATGACATCATAAAATTGACATTGGAACTGTTTCTGACCCAGGACCTACCATGCACCTTTCTAATTGAACCAGACGCAGGTTCGAACATAGTGCCATATCATTTATACAATAGGTTAAAAATTCACCTTCCTAATTTAAGTCTTAAAAAACATTCCCCTGATCTGTCAACCCTAAATGGTTTTACGAAAATAATAGGTAACTTAACTCTCCCTCTGACAATAGGCCAAATATCCCGTAAAGAGAACTTCCACGTGGTAAATGCATCCTTGCCATTTGGAATTCTTACCTTGAAAACTCTTTATCATTTTAAAATAAAATTGAATTATAATCACGGCACTATTTTCCAACTTGGCGTCCCATTGTCTAACTCTACCTATCACTTTAAACATGTACCAAATGAATGCAAGCACGGGCTATGCCAAAACCTGTCCCAAAGGACTTGCACTGCACCCAAATCTTTCACACATGGCAACCCTTGCATGCATCCATTGAACCGGACTCAAATATTTACCTGCCACAAATCTAATCTCACACCACGCAACTTTTTTACTCAACCCAATTGCCATTACTATATGCCCTCAACTCACAAAGCCACAACGGCTTCAACTTACAACCACAATGCCCAAAACG